GGCACTCTCTTAAAGTTTAGGTTTGAATCCCTTAGTGGGGAATCTGCTTAAAGCTGAATCACACATAGTATGCCTGACTTCAGCCAGCGTACTTTATCACCCAAATAGAAGAGAAATTAGACAAGGATCCCTAAGCCTTAGCATGTGTCCAGCCATACTTGGTGAAGGCCTTAGGAGTATGTGAGTGATTTCCTAGTTAATGCCCCTTTGATACATACCCTTTCTAGCACAAGCTGAGTCAGCGACTGACTGGGGGTTTCATTGAGCACAGGCATATGTATTTGGGGGTACACTTGGTTGTGGGGTTCTCTGCATAGATATGCTCAGTCAGAATGTAAGTCACAAAGCAATAGCCTGCTATATTTATATAAAGCCCAGACTTCTTCCCCACTCAGGGTGTAGCTCTGTGATAAAGTACTTTCTTAGCATGTACAAGGCCCTGCCCTGCCCGAAAAAAAAGTAAGAAAAATACCTCAGCCAAGGCTGCACACCAACATATAATGCTGGTAGGCAGTAAGTAGTGTGGCTGATCAGTAGATCCCATGGGGCATTTAGGTAAATGAGTTTTTTAAAATACTGTATAGCTAAAGTTATTTTTCCCCAGTACTAGGATTTGAACCCAGTGTCTCACACATGTTAGGCAAGCACTCTACCATTGAGCTACATCCCCAGCCCTTTTCAAAATTTTGTTTTGAGACAAAGTCTTACTAAATTGGTCAGGTTGAGCTTGAACTTGCAGTCTTCCTCCCTCAGCCTCCTAAATAGCTGGGAGGCATCTGCCACCATCCCCAGTTTTAACGTCTGTTTTAATTTAAAATTTGGCTTTTTTTTCTCCCTAGTGAGTTCAAGACCAGTCTAAACTTCATAGCGAGACCCTGTCTCAAAAAAATTTTTTTGTCTTCTTTTAATTTAAAATTTTAATTTTTGGGCTGGGGATGTGGCTCAGTGGTAGGGTTCTTGCCTCGTTATGTGCAAAGCCTTGGGGTCAATCCCCAACACCATCCAAAAAAAAAAAAAGGATAATAAAATTTTATTGAGTTTTTTTTTTTTTTTCTTTTTAAGACAGAGTGTCACTATGTAGCCCAGGCTGGTCTCAAACTCATGGCAGTACTCCTGCCTTAGCCTCATGAGTACTGGGATTATAGGCATGTGCCACCATGCCTGGCCAGCAGTATTTTTTTTTTAATGAGCTTTGACTCAGACGTTTGTTCACCCTAAAGCACTTTAAATCCTTTCAGCACCCATGGAGTAGAGCATGTGGAAACCCACTGTCCTCATAGGTGATTTCTCCGGGGTATCAGCAACAGCTGAGGACCAAGGGCCCCAAGGCCCCCTGCCCTCTTTCTGTCTAGAGAGGTATGATTCTGCCCTGTCTTGCCCGCAGGCCCACAGTTTAACCAGAGAAGGCCAATTCACTGGGTCAGCAGGCAGAGGCATTTCTGTGTTCCTGTTTCAGGCACCCTCCAAAGGTGAAGGTCGGCCTGGGAAAACCAAGTAGAAAGTGCAGCAACACGCTTTGCAAGTCCGAAGTGTGTACTTCCTGTGTCTCCCAGAGCAGGCAGAAAAAATGGTACATGGTTTGCTTTTGAGATGCCTCAGAAGTGAAAGCATGCTCTTCCCTTGGCACTGTAAGGAACAAAGTGAGGCAGAGACCACGTGACAGTAATAAGGTGCACTGTTTAATACCTGGGTGCAGGCAGACAGGGTAATAGGGCAGTCCATGGGGAACAAAGAGAAACTGGCCATTTTATAGAGATTGAAAGAAGGCAAGGGACATTGAGGGGAAGATCTTAGTAAATATCAGTGGTCAAAGTTCCCTGGCTGTCTTGCACCTCAGTGGGCAAAGTCCTTTGGGGTGTAAATTTGGGGTGTCTCCAGACGTCTGGGGACCTGCAAGTTTCCATGCCCTATCTTTTCTTTTTTAGTCTCCAATGAGAACAATGCCTCTGATGGCAAACAGGTTGAGTGCTAGGAAGGTCCTGTCCAGTTCAGGCCTTACAGGCACAAACCCTTGGCCCTCACTGTCTCAACGTTCTGTGTCTCCTGGAAATTTTATCCCTGTCCCCTTTGCAGGGTCAGAATTCAGGGTGATTCTTTCTCCTTGTTCTTTCTGCATTGACATTAGCTGCTGTGCAGCATGAAGAGCGTTCATGCTCACTGTGAGGCAGGAAGCCCTGTGCCTGTGAGAGGCCTCTGAGAGCCCTGTGTATTGATAGTGCCTGGGAGGCTTCGGTTTGCTGTTGGGGAATTGATGTGGGTGCACTTAGGCTGCCCCTGGGGCATCGCAAAGCCCGGCAGTTTGACTTCAGGGAGAATTTTTGTAGACAGAGCTTGCTTCCTAAAACTATTTACAGAGAGACAGACCCTTGATCATTCCATGCTTTTCCTAATCTTGAGGTCTTCACAATTGCCAGGAAAAACATAAATGAATTTAAGAGGTTGCATGATACTGATGTTAAAGTTTAGAGTGAGCCCATAACCTCTCACTTCTAACTAGAACCCTGTTCTGCTGGCCCTTGTCCTTTTGACCCTGCACCCTGCCAGAAAGGACCAGAAGGAAATTAGGAAAATAGTTTCATAATCTTAGGATGGAGGAAGAGACCCTACAGGTCACAAAGGAAAAGAATTACAAATTAAACAATGTAAAAATAAACCTCAGTATGTGAAGAAAACCTCCTTGAACAGAAGTAAAAAGCAGGCTGAGGGGGAGTGTTTGTAGCACATAAACAACCATTAAAGTAGCCATGTTGTATAAAAGAGATGAGAAAGAGAAAAAAACAGCCAAACAGAAACAGGTAAAACGACACCCTGTCTCCTGTCATCTTTTGAGTCCCATAAACATGTGATGTGCATGTCCCGGTGACAGCAGTGTTCCTGTGAGTTACGAGGGTGATTGTACGGTTTCCCTCTGGACCTGATTACAAAAAGGCCTCTGATAATCAGTTAAAATCTTACCTGTGGAATATGGGGCTGTGGGCTTTGCATAGCCCTGGCCACTCCACAGTTACCTACTGCAGTTCTGAGCCGTGGAGAGTCACGGCACCTCCCCACCTGTGTTTACCTGTCTGTGTAACAAAGCTCAAATAGCAGCTTCCCCTGGAGGGTGTCGGGAGGAGTCAGTGAGCCAGCACTTACAAGTGCTCAGATGTTGCCCTGCGTGAGCTAGTGGTCATGTGACTGAAGGCTTACCCATTATGGCCTCCTTCATCATACCACTAGAAAAGGAAATCCTCTCTCCTCTTTCTTGCTAATGATTCTGGGGCTGAGTGGTACTATTGTGAGTGGTGATTTCCAGGGAGAGTTAGCTCTAGGGGGTCCTTCAGCCCAACAAGGTAATGGGGGCCTATTTTCCAAAAGAAACAGAATTTCTTCTAACCCTAACCCTAGTGCTAAACCCAACCCTCTCTGAGGAGCTTCAGAGCTGGTCTACTGGCCTGCTGGGCTGTGGTGTACTCAGCCAATGCCTGGGAGGACCTGAGCTGCAGCACTAGTCTGGTTTCCCTGCTTTAGAGATCTTTCAGGTGTCCATGTAACTGGAAATACTTAGTTTCCCTTTCTAAGCTCCTTGCTTTATTATAAGTTTACACCTTCCTTTAGTTTGTTTGCTATCTAGAGCAGGAGTCCAGGTGTGCATGCTGGACAGCTAGTAATGTAGCCCCACAAAATTGTAAACTTAAGGGAGCTGGGGGAGGTGGTGCACGCCTGTAATCCCAGCACTGGGGTCTGAGATTGAGGCAGGAGGATTGCTGTGCATTCAGGGCCAGCCTAGGTTACATAGTGAGTTTAAGGCCAGCCTGAACTGCACAGGGAAACGCTGTCTCAAAAAAAAAAAATTACAAACTTAATATTATTGATTTTTAGCAGTATTTTTTATTATTGGATTGGGTGGTGCTCAAGAGTGGACAGTGTAGGTGACAGCAGAAAGCTGTGCCGGGGAGAGCGCAGTGCGATGCAGCCTCCATCTGCACCTACCACACACACGAGTCAGTTGATTCAAAACCTGTGTGTATCAGGTGTTTCATGTGCCTGTGGGATTTGACAAGTAAAATACAAGTGATTAGCAGTAATAGTGTTTCAGCCTACCTACGTGTGTGTGTGCCTACAAAGGTAGGTGTTCATTGTTATTATGCAGACAAGTAAGTTTTCTTATTTACTTACTGAACTTTGGCTTGTTTTATCTCAGTTTAGGGGGCCAGGGATTTAGCTCAGGGTTGCAGTGCCTGCCTGGCAAGCGTGAGGTCCTGAGTTTGATTCCCAGTACCCAAAATAAATAAGTAAAACAGTGTAATAGCTGGGTGTGGTGGCTCACACCTGTAGTCCCAGTACTTGGGAGGCTGGGACAGGAAGATTGCTGTGAATTGGAGGCCAGCTTGGACTATACAGCAAGACCTGCTTTCAAAAAATAACAAAAAAATAGTTTAATAAATTAAGCTATGCAAGAGGGCAGCATACTGCTGCTCTCCCAGCAACTTTTTTTTTGGTACTGGGAATTGAACTCAGGACCTTGCACTTGACAAGCAAGGCGCTGTGCCTCTGAGCTATATCCCTGGCCCCCCAACAACTATTTTAGCTGTGATATAGGAAGTACAAAAATGTATCAAATAATTTTTTGCTCATGGTATTTGATGCTGTTATAATTACGTATACAGCATCCCTAGTGGCTAGAAACGTTGCTGGGCATAGTGGCGCATGTGAGAGGCTGAGGCAGGAAGATCACATGCGTTCAAGGCCAGCCTGATCTATATATTGAGACTGTCCCAGAAAAAAAAAGCTCTAACAAAAATATTTTAAATGTTTTGTTACATTAGCTACATTGTATCTTATATGCACCCAAGACAGTCCCTCTTCACTCAGTGCATCCCAGGCAAGCCAGAAGGTCAGACACCCATGAACTAGACAGTTGGCCCTACAGCAGAACAGGGGTAGGTAGCAGGGAATGTACAAATCCCAGTGACGGGGGCAGACAGCCTCTCTAACCATGGGTTCTGTTTTCTCTGCAGGAGGTAAACGGCATCACTGCAGCATTGGCTGAAGAACTGTATGAAAAAGGTATATGGCCACTGGCCCTTGAAATGCTTGGCATAGCTTGTGTAATCCTACCAGACAGAGCCACAGAACTGAATTTGTTAAGTCCTGGCCAGGACCCACCTCCTTAGAGTGCTCAAATCCAAGCCTGCCCATCTACCTGCCCTGCGAATGAGTAGTGGTTTTCCTCTTAGGACTTTTGGGTCCTGTGTCGGGAGCTTAGCCTGCTCTGAGGATCTCTTCTGAAGCCCTATAGCTGGTTGCTGGGAGAGCAGTGGTATGCTGCCCTCTTGTGTCTGGTTTGTCTTTACCCAAAAGGATTCAGATGACGTATAGAAGCCAACCTGGGGTCACAGTCCTCCCAGAGAGCATAGTAACTGTAGGTAGTATGTAAAGAGCGGGCCTTACCATCCAGCCCTCGGTTTATCATCCTGCTGCCTTCTGCCAGGAGCCATAGGTACTGGTGAGGACAGTAGTGGTTAGGGGCCCAGTCCCTGCCCAAGGCTGCATAGCTGGAATTAGCAGAGGGGGTCCAGATGCCAGTCCGTGTGGCTGAGAAGCCATCTTGTTCTCAGGTGCTACACAGTCCTAGCATCTTAAGCCTGCACCTAACCTCAACATCTGCATTTTGGAGGTTGTGACAGATCTATTGTCCAGAATGCTACCTCTCATCAGCCTTATCCTGGCTCAGTGCCTTAGATCTTAACTCAGCCTCAGGATGTGTCCCCAGTGGCACAGTCCCCGTAGCCTTTTCATTCTCTGTTGTGACATATCGAGGGTTGTTCTGGGTTGGGTGTGAGCTCAGGAGGGCAGCTGCTCCTGCATGCTTAGGGTCATGGCTTCATGTCGATGCAGTGGGTACACCTGTTAATAGGTGCTTACCCAGTGCATATTGACTATCGTTGGCCTGGTGGGCAGACGCCCTGGCTGGCTGATGAGCTGGGGCTAGGGCTGGAAGCTCATCCCTCAGCGCATGGCTGTTGCAGGAGAACAGCTCCTGGGGGCCGGCGAGGTCTTTGTCATTGGGCCCCTGCAGCTGTATGCAGTCACGGAGCAGCTGCAGCAGGGGAAGCCCACATGCGCCAGCGGGGACGCCAAGACTGACCTTGGGCACATCCTGGACTTCACCTGTCGCCTTAAGTACCTGAAGGTAAAGCTGCAGCAGCTCAGTCATGGAATCTCCATTTGGTTGGCCATGAGCCTGACAACTTACTGGTTGGCAGTGTATACAAAAGAGATTGTGGGGGCGGTGGGGCGGGGAGGGGGGGGATGAGCTTGACGGGAGGTCCCTTTATATTCTTGGCTGTGCTTCTGGCTGTGAGCACTAGAGGGCATTGTGAACCAGTGTTGCATTACACACACACACATTAGGAATTGAACCCCAAGGCCTTTGCACTCAGCAGCACCCCCTTTTGAGACAGGGCCTAGATAAATAGTCAAGCAGTATTCAAACTTGTAATCCTACTTCAGCTTCCTGAAGCGCTGGAATTACAGGCACATGACACCTGGCTTGTTTCATTACTTCAAACTTAAGGCTTGACCTGCTTTATGAAAGGTAGACATGGTCAAAGCTTTAGAGGTGACAGCTGCTGTCACACCAGCCCAAGAATGTGGATGGGGAGTAGTGGTAAAAACATCTTTAACTTAAGCCATATCTTTGGCTTCAGGTTTCTGGCACAGAAGGACCTTGTGGGACCAGTAACATTCAAGAGCAGCTCCTACCATTTGATCTGTCAATATTCAAGTCTCTTCATCAGGTGGAGGTAAGTCCCAGGGGAGCTGGACTAGCGGGCATCATTTTGCTCCCAACTATCTGGCTGGGGAACAGTGTTAATGTCAGATGTCCAGATTTAATCATAAGACTCTGTTGCTTTTGTGTGTGGCAATATGTGACAGATTCTGTCCAGGAAAGTCAGGCCCCTTTAAAGGTAGACAAAATGGGGAGATCCTCTTCTGGCTTTGCTGGTCATTTCTCCATCCCTGGCATGGGTGACAGGGCATTTAGAGGGGTAAAGCACCAGTTCCCACCTCATGGATCTGTCAGCATCATGGGATGAGTATTGTTCAAATAGAAGTCCTCAGAAATCATCCTTAGGGTCAGACAGACCCAATTCCAAGTCTTTATTTCCCAAGGCAAGAAGCTTGGAGAGTTCTCTGCCCTCTGGGACAGCCACACTTAGCAAGAAATGGTTTACATTACTTGCTAAAGAGCTCCTTATTTTTCAAAACTAATTTTGTCACCATTTTTAAAAGGAAAGTAAAATTAGTAATGTAACAGTAAAAACTGCTTTAAATGTGTTAATTGTGCAGGGTGGGTTGCTGGAAATCAAACCCCGGACCTTCACATTGAGCTACATCCCTGGCCCCTTTTTAAAATTTTTAATGTTGCGATAGGGTCTCACTAAATCTCTGTTACCCAGGTTGGGCTCGAACTCATGATTCTCCTGCCTCAGCCTCCTAGAGTGCTAGGATTACAGGCATGTGCCACCACACTGGCTAAGCATGTGTTTAATGAACTTAGATTTTGTGTTCAGCTCTGTGCTCTGTGATGTGTACTCCTTGACCAAAATTTCCCTCTAAACTGGGCACTTTCATTCCTCGCTTATAACTGAGGAAACTGAGGTTTAGGAAGACAAAGGAATTTGGCCAGAATAACATAGTTAAGGAGGGAAAAGCTGGGATTTTTTTTTTTTTTTTTTTTTTTGGCTTTTTCTCCGGTACCGGGAACCGAACTCACGACCTTGCGCTTGCCAGGCAAGCGCTTTTTGCCGCTGAGCTAAATCCCCAGCCCCAAGCTGGGATTTTAATTTGGCTGAATTTAACGCTAGAATCTCTGCAATGCATTGGCCACTTCTGACTGTAGCATCCTGGGCTTGCCTCGGAGACCTTGAGGGCCTCTGCGCTTGATGAAGACAGAGTGTGCCATGACTGCTGGGAAATGAAAGGTCAGCCCACCCCACTCAGCAGCCGGGGCTCTGTGGACCTGGTCAGAAGAACTTGGGCAGTATGCTTGGCCTGAGCCGCTGCCCTTCTTGCTGCAGGACCATCACGAGCAGAGGAGCAGGGCTGAGTGAGCAGGGGGGCCACCACACTCACTGCGTTGTGGAGTTCATGTCTCCTAGCGCTGGTTGCCATGACTTACCCTTTCCACCTACCTGCCAAGCCCCAAACGGTCCTTCCAGAGAAAATGGAATGTATGGTTCATTGTTAATCTGGAATCCGAATGCTTTTCTTATGGAGTACTTCAGAGAATGTTTAGTCAGTCCTAAATAACTTTGGGAAAAGGGACGTACAGGTCACCATCTGTTTCTAAGGGTTTAGGCTTGCCCATAGTCATAGTTGGACTGCTTTTGTGTTGACGTGATGTTCCTACGCCCTGAGACTTCTGATGGTGCTACAGTGCCATATTTGAGACATAACTGTTCTTTGTTACAGATAAGTCACTGTGATGCTAGGCACATCCGAGGACTGGTTGCCTCAAAGCCCACCTTAGCTACCCTGAGCATCCGCTTCTCAGCAACCTCCATGAAGGTAAGCTTTACCTGCTTCTAGCCTAGGGCCCCTCTGTGGGGCGGGGTCGTGACTGTGGTCCCCGCCACTGAGGGCAGTTGTCAACATGCTGTGTCTGTCAGTAGCTAGAAGCTCAGTCTTCCCCTGGGTTACCACACACTCAGATAGGGGGCCACTCCCCCTGGACTTGAAAGCCTTAGGAGTCCTTTAGTCTGCATGTTCATCAAAATCCCATGTTGTGTACATGCATGCCCGCGTTTATAGCTGTCAGGGATCCCAGCCTGAGCCCCCGATCACCTGCCAAGGGTTATGGCACAGGAATGAAACAGACAGAGACAGAAATAATCATGCAAAATGGGGAACCGGGATGGTCAGAGTCCAGTGAGGACAGAGAGCAAGAGGCTTGGTGCCGTCTATATTTATTGGAATTTCAACATAAGTAATGAGCTTGCTATGGGAAAAAGGGGAAGGAACCAAAAGGTTGATCTGCTGATGCAGGCAGAGCTTGTGAATTGAGGAGCAAAGCATTCTAGCGTAGTTTTCAGGACAGTAGCTCAAAGTTAATCAGTAGCCTGCTTAACAGTTGCTAAGGCTGTTGATCTGGGGAAGTAATTTAAGCGAGAATTGTACTGTCTTCACCTGCAGTGTTTCCAGGTTTGAAGGCTGCAGGGCATCACAGGCAGTTTGCTGGCCTCCACTCTGGCTGATGGCGTGGAGTGAGTTTCACCCAAGATGCCAAAGGGAGTCTCTCCTAGCCACATAACCATGGACTTACTTTTATTGGTATTTGCCAATTATGAATTAATCACAGCCTCTCCTGCTCAGCCTGAAGGTGGTCTCCCACGTACAGCAACACGTTTATAATAGCTAAATCTTGGAAACAGCCTATTTGCTTTATCCACTCATCATGTGATGTGTATCTACAATGGAGTACTACTATGCCATAAAGAAGGATAAACATGAAGCATTTTTAGGTAAAAGGATGCGTTTTGAGACCATAATGTTAAGTGAAATAAATCAGACCCACAAGCTTAAATATCACCTGCTTTCTCTTATATGAGAAACCCAAAGTATAACTAATGAGGAAAATAAAAGATAGATAATAAGAAGTAGGGAGACCTTTTCCAGATGGGAAAGAGAACAAGAGATGGAGGGAAGGGGAAGGAAGAAAGGTAAAGGGTTTTTTAAAAAGAAATAGTTCCCACCGTTGATTCCTGTCATTTTGTTTTGAAACGCTGTATCACTTTTAATGTTCTGGCTTTGTTTTTTTTATGTCTGTGATGTTGGTATGCTGCTATTGTTCTTTCTTTTTCTACTCTCTTTAAAATTAAAAAAAAAAAGATAGTTGAAGAAAAAATGGAAATAGAGCCTTTGCAAATGAGAGGGGGAACAAGAGGTGGATTTTCTGTACACATACATACGTATCTGTGTGCACATACCAACTCCCACAGTACATGTAATCATTATGTACTTGGAGCATGTACAGATGAAAACATGATTTTAATATTAGTGTTACTAGCAAGACATTTTAAGGGACTGAGGTCTTTTCCTCCAGAAAGAAAAGAAATGGTTACTTTTTAATGAGCAAGTTGTGGTGCTGTGGCTGGGACGAGGACCTTTAGTAGCCTCATAACTGTTCTCTAAGCCTCACCAGTCATGGCTTAGCACTTAAAGTAGAAGGTGAAGTTATGGAGGTGATGGCCCTGCATTTGTACAGGAGTGATAGGAACGTTCCATTTGGGAACATAGGACATTTCTTTTACCTTTCCATGTATCTTTCTATGCACCTTAGTAATGTTAAAATTTTCCATGAGTACATAAAAAGCATTAATGGCTAATTTTATGACTTAGGGCATGTGATCAAGAATTGGGCTTAGGAAAAATTCTTTCTTTTGAGGCTGCTTTCTGAAAGGAGAGAGCTAGAGAGAGAGCACGGGTGTTAAGCCACCTCGTCCAGGCCTGAGGCACTTGTTGACTCGTCCAGGCCTGAGGCACTGCCTGACGTGGAGCCTTGGAGTGATCCATTGCAGGAGGAGAGGTCTCGGGGTATCAGAAGTCAGCGAGGGAGGGCTGGCTTCTCCCGATGGGGTTCTCAGTGCGCCATACTGCTATACTTGTCTTAGCACTGAGTTTCTCCCTGCAGAGTAATGATTTTAAAAGTCCGCTGTCTGTCTACAGTGCAGACCACTCTGAAGGCACAGTTGCCTGGCAACACTGTGAATTCAGACCTTCAGCCTCTGAGAGAGCCAGAAAAGCGTCACCATGCAGTAGAGACCTTTAGGGGCTTGAAGGACATTTGTTTTTGAAGCAGGCCAGAGCATATTATACGTGGTTATAATGTTGCTAAGCCTTTCCTTATTTCACAATTGTTTAAAGACACATGCACAAAAGCCCCATTTTAATGCAAGCTCACTTCCACATGCTAAATATGCTGTAGCCCTTCCTTAAATTTTGCAACGATAGTATTTCACTTAGTGTTGCGTGAGGGGCCTGAGCATGCCGCCTAACAGATGTTCTTAATACAGGAAGTCCTTGTTCCTGAAGCCTCAGAATTTGATGGGTGGGAGCCAGAAGGCGCAGCCTTTGAAGGCCCTGTGACTGCCATCATCCCCACATGGCAAGCGTTGACCACTCTCGACCTGAGCCACAACAGCATCTCCAAGATCGATGAGTCTGTGGTATGCTCATGACAGCTAGAGTCAGCCTCAGTGTTGGATATTTAATTTGACTTTTTCTGGAAGGATCACACAGAACCCATATCCAGTGCTCTATGTATTGCCTGCCATTTTTAAGCTAAACTTAAAAATTAGAATATTTCAGATTGGTGAGGAAATACCTAGAGCCTAATGAAGCATATTGATTGCACGTACACTGGATATACAGTAAGTCCCTGACTTACAAACATTCAGGTTGTGAACTTGCACAGTCAGCTTATGAACAAATCTGACTTAGCAATAATTCTTTTGGAACAAATGGAATTTACTCGTAAATCAGGGACTTACTGTGCTAGAATCTTGGTGACACATTTACTCCAAGGAGTAAAGCCGAAAACTCACTTCTGAAGTCATGGATGTGACCATATAAGAATGACACCCAGATAGCCTTAGAAAAATGAGCATGTGATTCTATCTTTGTCAGTAGGGTTAGGTAGGGATGCAGTGCGGCAAACTCCCTTCTCTGGAGTGTTGCCCTTTGTCATTTTTATATGCCAAGTGTTCTGTAAAAACAGTAGGTAGTGCTCAGCCCTGGAGGCCCTGTGTGTTCCTTCAGATACACTCCTGGGTGGGAACAGGAGGTGTCCCTTCAGTGGCCCTACAGGGAAGTCAGTGGTGGGAAGGGGCAATATAGAATACATCCTCTAGAATAACATTGGATGGTCTTTTCTCTCACAAGAAACTGATCCCAAAGATTGAGTTCCTGGACCTGAGTCACAATGGAGTGCTGGCCGTGGACAACCTGCAGGTAATGTCTAGAGACAGCCATAGGCTCTCCAAGGCCCCATTCTCTGGGGCAGTTCTCAGACAGATACAGCATGGGAATCTGGCTGCGTAAGGTTGATAAGGGTGGGGGGCTGCACCTTCTCATCCAGGCCCCCGCAGTACACTTACTGTTGCTCTCCTTTTGAAGAACATGAGGATATAGAAGGCCGAGTGTGGTAAAGATGTGCAGACTTGTTTTCAGTGCTCACCCCTAACCTCTCTGCAGGGACTGCTACTGGCCTATGGTGCGGCGGGGGAGGGGGCAGCTCCCATTCCCAATAATTGTCAGACTGCTGGAGCTGCCTTACAGAGCATGTGGGTAGGCAGGCCTCAGCCCCTCTCTGGAGACAGGTCCTGAGCCGCTGTTCTGTTCTCAATGCCGCTGCAGCACCTGTACAACCTCGTGCACCTTGACCTGTCCTACAATAAGCTTTCCTCCTTGGAAGGCGTTCACACTAAACTGGGCAATATTAAGACCCTGAACCTGGCAGGCAACCTCCTGGAGCATCTGAGTGGCCTGCACAAGCTCTACTCCCTGGTCAACCTGGACCTCAGCTACAACAGAATTGAACAGGTAGCTGCACCTCAGGGGGATCTCAGGGCTCTGGGGTTGCTGGGCCTGCATTAGATCACTGTAAAGAAGACCGTTAAGCTTCCTTTCATTTAAAAGAGGCCATCCAGCATATCGCCCTGTTGCTGAGATGTTAAGAGAAGGGGCCAGAAGGAATGGCACTTGTGCCTTGCAGATAGAGGAGGTCCGGAGCATAGGTGGTCTGCCGTGTCTGGAGCACGTGTCCCTGCTGAACAACCCTCTAAGCATCATCCCTGACTACCGGACCAAGGTGCTCACACAGTTCGGAGAGCGGGCCTCGGAGGTAGGTCCCAGCACCACCAGGGCAGCCCAGAAGACAGGTGAATGGAGTCACAGTCTGCATGGGCAGAAGGGGCGGTGGGGGGTCCACTGTCCACTGTCCTCGCCCACCTCACCTACCCTACGAGGGCATCTCCAGGCACTGTGGATGTAGGAAGTTGACGGCCCTCCAGGAAAAGTCTCCCAATACCTCCTGCCCCTCTCCTCTGAGGGGCGGTCAGTGGCATGTGTTCCCAGCAGGCTTCCTGCTGCTTCTGCCAGAGCTTCAGACCAAGAGGGCACCTCAGGCACACAGAGGCACGCGCCTGGTGTGGGGAACTGTCCTCAAGTTTTTGTTGTTGTAGTTTTGTTTCTTGTTTGTTTTTTTCTTTTTTTGTTTTTTTGGGTTTTTTTGGTACTGGCAGTTGATCTCAGGGTCTCGTGCTTGCCAGGCGGATGCTGTGCCACTGAGCTATATCCCCAGCCCTTGTTGTTACAGTATTGAGGATTAACCCCAGGGCCTTCACACTAACCTACATCCCCATCCCTGTTGTTTTTTTTTAATTAATTTATTAATTTATTTATATATTTATTTATTTATTGAGACAGGGCCTTGCTAAATTTACTAAGTTACCCAGGTTAGCCTAGATTGTGAAATTCTCCTGCCTTAGCCTTCTAGAGTGCTGGGATTCTGGAAATGTGCCGTCATGCCTGGCTTGTCTTCAACTTTTAGAAAAGAATATTGTTTATTCTAGGCAAGGGACAGAAATTAATACTTAAAATAGTCATCTTTTCTGGGTAACATCTGGCTATACTCCCTGATTACAAGCCCAGAGTATTTGCCCAGCTTTGCTGGTGTAACACAGCAGTGTCTGCTGCCTGCTGGCCGTGGCTGTCTGCCTGCCACCGTGCTAATCAAACAGGTCTTCCCTAGGTTCGTTCCTGTCCATCAGCCAAGTAGACCTTGCCCTGTTCTTTTGCTGATCCTTGGAGCCTCTGTTCTAGCCAGATCCCACACCAGAAGATACCTGAGGCCATTTGCATCCCAGCTCTGCTCCCTTTTTGCACCAAGTGCCACTTTCTCTACGCTGACACTAAGACAGTCTTCACAAGGTGTCATCTCCTCTTCCAGGCTCCAGGCTAGGAAGACTTCCTGGCAAATGGTGTTGGTTCCTGACAGGCCCTTGTGATTTTCATTCGACCATACTGCCCATTCCCGAGTGCCCACCAACCCACAGCTCCACCTGCATTCCAGGACTGGGATCTCTGCCTTTTCTGTCTGCTTTACATGTCTTTTTCCTCCTGGTTCCCCTGTCCTGAAGGCCTTCTGCTTGTTCTTTGTCTTGTTTTTTGTCTTTTTGAGACAGGGTCTCATTATGCAGTTCAGGCTGGCCTGGAGCTCACTTTGTAGCCCAGGCTGGTCTCAAACTCACAAAGACCCTCCTGCCTCAGCCTCCTGAGTGCTGGGATTGCAGGCGTGCACCACCACATCCGGCTTCTCTGCTTGTTCTTTGGTAATCTGAGCTCCACCTATACATGGGAATTTAGTGCAAGTCCTCCCTTCCCCCAATCCCAGCCCCCAAGAAGCTGCTACCTCCCCTTAGAGACAGATCTCAGAGACAGATGAGGCAGTTGGGACTCCCTTGGCTTCTAGTGTCCTCATGGGGCCTGACCTATGGCACCTGCTCATGTCTCCTACTCAGCAGTCCCCGACCATCTTCCTCCTGCATGCTTGCAGTCTCTGTGCTGAGATCCACTTTCTGGACACTGTGTAGGTCTGTCTGGATAACACACCGACCACAGAGAAGGAGCTGGACACTGTGGAAGTGCTGAAAGCCATCCAGAAAGCCAAGGATGTCAAGTCCAAACTGAGCAACCCAGAGAAGAAGGTGGGTGTTCCTGTGAGACGTGGAGGGGTGCTTCATGAGGAAAATGGGATGTGGGATTGCTCAGGGCCACTGAGCGCTGGCTGTACCTCACCCTGGCCGAGGGACCTCGGGCGGGCTACACTGTCGAGGTGCTGGCGTGTGAGATGGGGTAACGACAGTGACAGTACCCACCACTCAGAGCTTCTGTGGGGCTGAGTTTGCCATCACCTGTGTCAGACAGCCACTGAGCTCCTCCCTCCCCAGCCCCCGGCCTTGTCGTTTCTGTCGTTCCTGCACTTCCTCTTCTCCCCTGGGCTGACTCAGGCACTCTTCCTCAGGTTGGTGAGGAGTCCCGGCTCTCAGCTGCCCCCTGCATCAGGCCCAGTGGCTCCCCTCCCTCTGCGGCGCCCACTTCTGCCTCCCTGCCCCAGCCCATCCTTTCTAACCAAGGTAATCGCGTATGGATCTTGCTCCTAACAGCTGCACAGCCCTGCCTGGACCCCCTGGCTGGGCTGGGGTTGGGGGTGATGCTGGCATCTGCTTCCTACAGGGTCAGGCACAGGAGGGTGGTGCCATCTGCAGGCTGGCTCCTTGGGTGGCTCATTGCAGGGGATGACTTTAGATCTGTTATTTGCTTAGTGAGGACCCCCAGTGCTCTGACACCCAAATCTACTGCTGAGATGCCACAAGGTGTCTAACGGGCCCTGAGGCTGCCCTTTGAGCAGGCTTGGGGCTGTTGGCTCATAAGGGCGAGTCCCCCACAGGCAGGTTGGCTTCTCTAATAGAACTCCAGGCCTTGTCACCTTACAGTCTGGAGCCCTAATCCGTCCCTGTATGGGGAGCTTTCTTTTTATCATTGCGGCCCTCGTGGTACAGCCTAGTCCCAAAGCGCTGTACTTGTGGGACCAGGATGGGCTGTCTGTGTCCCTGTGGACCCATGGAAGACCAGTTCCTTTCACCTGCCACTATCTTAGAGTTTTCAAAGGGCTTTCACCTCTGAACCCAGGCATCCTCGGAGATGAGTGAGTGAAGCAGGTCCTGTGAGCGAGTGAAGCAGGCCCTGACAGAAGAGGGGCAGGTGTGCCATCCCTGAGTGGAGCTGAGGCTCGGGACACGCAGGAAAGAACACCGCCCGCCCAGGCTCCTGGAGACGCAGAACTTGGTGTGAGGTCTCGGGAAAACAGTTTGACCCTGTCTTTCAAGAGCCAGAAATAAATCCCATCCCTTGACCTGGTGGCCCCACTGGTGGAGAGCTTCTCTTAGAGATAAGACAACTGGGGCAGGGGGAAGTGGAGTCCTCCCTGCAGGCATCACAGGCTGTGACACACACGCCGTGGAGGGGAAGGAGAGGCAGCGTGCCCAGGACCCTCTTTGCAGTCCCAGTGGGGAGAGAAGCCTGGGTAGCAGGAAGGGAGACATGCTCATTTATGTTAAGGGAAAAGCCCAAAGCAGAGCAGCACCCTGAGCTCATGACAGTGACGTGCAGAAGAGAACACAGGAAAGCAGAGCTGTGGGGCTGGGTGCCGGTGCATTTGCCCAACTGCGTTTGTCAAAACCTTGACTGAGAGTTTTTGGTTGGTTTTTCATTTTTTTGTTTTTGTTTTTTAAACATGAAAGGGATGGAGGGTTTGCATCCCTGTGAGGAAACCCCTGACCCTGCCACCTGCATCGAGTCCAAACTCCCCTTTGGGGCCCCGCAGCCCTGGCCACACTGCAGAGGAAGCACGCACGCATGGGTAGCTTCTGAGGGCGGTGAGGGATGTCTGGCCCCAAGGCCAAGGACACAGCCTGTTTCAGTGCGCATTTGTTGACTCAGTGAGCGAGTGAGTGCATGCCCAGCAAGTGGAGAAGCGGGCAGCAGGGGAACGGAGTGTTCCCTACGGCCGCAGCTGCAGGCAGCCCCCAACCTCAGCGTTAGGGCAGCCAGGGCCCAGCTCATCTTTCCCTTTCTGCCTGCTCACCTGGGACACTCGATGGCTCTGTAGTCTGTCCCCTCTCCCTGGTCACTGGACATTGAGACACTATCCCAGATTTGCACCTTTATAAATAAAACTATAGTGGATGTCTTTGTGTGCACATCTCTTTCCTTTGGGTAAGAAATGACAAAGGTCAAATCCCCTTTCTAAGGATTTTCCTGATGTCCCTATCCCATTGGCTGAGTGGCCTTTTTTGACCACTTGTTTGTACAGACCACAGTCCAGGAAGGAAGTGGACAGGCTGTCCCTGTCCACGTTTCCTCAAGTCCAAACTGGCCTGGGTGGGAGGAGGGGTAGTGGCAAAAAAAATTTTTTTTTCTCATGAATGTGGAGGAATCCACATATGTGTATATTTGCCTGTGTTACATGGGCTGGTCTGGATGAGCAGGAGCTCTTCCTATGTGAGAGCAGCTTTGCTAACTGCCGCCTGTGGCTCCAGCCTGATCTCCATAGGAGAGCATGACGTGTGTACACACTGGGCCCTCCGGTCTGCCTGAAGAGGGTGCTTTGCAGAAAACACCAGGCCTCCAGTCATCACAGGAGCTGTTAGCCAGCTGTTGGCGCCCCCGCGGATTGTGACTGCTGAGAACCAGTGTGCAACAGGCCAGTTGGTTCTCCAGGCAGGTGTGGGGGCTGAGAAGACTGTGTAGGGAGGTGGTTAAGAGCAAGCAGCTGAGTTCAGGTTCCCTCTTCCTGGCTGTGTGATTTCAAGCAACTTGTAGCCTCACTGAAGCTGTTTCCTCAACCATAAAGTGGATACACCTTACTCCGTGGAGTCTAAGATGCACATGTTTCCACCTGTGACTTTCCTGAAATTGAGCTGCGTCTTTCAGTCAGTGGCGTCCGCTAGTCGCTGTCAGCCAGCTGGTACTCATGATGGAGTCGTGGGGAAACCTTCCGTGGACACCTGCTAAGATCCAGATGGCACCACATCCACACATCTTAGATTTGATAAAATGTGGTAAATAATGAGAGGCACGCATGAGCTCATGCTGGGGAGGTGCTTAGCATTGCTCTTGGCTCAACAGAAGTGGTCAGTAAGGGATCCCCTTCCCCATATTCTTAATGGGGGGCTTAGGACAGTGCCCGTGAGGGACGTGGAGCCACTTGGGGAGATGAACTGTGTCCCCGAGGGAGGACAAGGTAGAACAGTTCGAGGTATTTGTAGGTCTGAAACAGAGGTTTGAGTGGAAGTGGTATGGAGGTGAATCTCAAAGAATGGGTGACATCCACAGGCAAAGACCAATTCCTGGGGAAAAGACAACATAGGCAGAGCCCCGGGGAGGCCTGGGGATGCTTTGTGCATGGCTGTGTGCTTGCTGCCCTTCCTGCCTCGCAGAGCCCTGCTGCTTTGCTGCGTGGAGGTGTCTGGGCTTGGGCCACTTGCCTGCTTAGCCTTTGGGCAGAGGACTTGAGCTGTGTGAGCTGTCCTGTCCTGAGCACCCACCAGACCTATCAAGGATCTCATGCGCTGTGGGGATCTGAGGGTTCTGAGTTGTTTCGCTGGGCTGTGGTGACTGGTGGCAGTCAGGCTGGGGGGGCAGCCCCTGGCTCCTCTGGACCAGCTAGCTGCAGTTAGGAACATATTAGGAAAGTCTTCCCCCTCAACCGTTCTACAAACTCTGGAGTGAAATAATGGGTCCAGACAGGTCGTGTTTGTCAGACAGCCTCAATAGAGTATGTGAGTCAGTGCCACTGTCATAGCGGGTGGCCCCCGGGACAGTCATGGGGTTCCTGCAGGAACAGGAAGCAGTCCAGTGAGTGCAGGCTCAAGTTGTACTCACCAGTCTTGGTAGACTCTGAAGCTTACAAGGTCTGGCCTTCCAGCGAGGTGTCTCCTGCTCTGGATCTGTGAACCATGTGGAGATGTCAGATGTGGGGGTAGGGTCATGTCTGGTCATATCCTGGGCTCCAGAAGTGGACACATGTAAGGCTCTTGATGGATATATCGCCAGACTGCTCCCAACAGTCAAGCCAGCTCACACCCATGCGTCCAATTAAGCAGGGGCTAGGCTGCATAGTCAGTCTGATCTTTGCCACGATGAGAGACAAACTGGTTTCCTGTTCCAGCTTGCCTTTCTATGAACACTAGCAAGGGTAAGCATCTTTTCTGTGTTGTATCTACTGGCCTCTCCTCTGCCAAATGTCTCTTCAAGTACTTGCAGTCTTTCGGTAGAGTGTCTGATACCCCACCCTCATTTTTGTAATTCTCTAAGAATTCTTTTAAAAGATAGATGTCTCGGGGCTGGGGATTTAGCTCAGCGGCACAGAGCCTGCCTGGCAAGCACAAGGTCGTGAGTTGAATTCCTGGTACCGGAAAAAAACCCAAAAAATAAAAAAAAATAAAAGATAGACATGGTTCAACATTGCCAGCACTTTTTCCTCTGATTTTGCCTTAGTTTTTAAAATTCATATATACAAGTTTGATTTTTATGTAGTCACAATTAGTAATTTCTTTTGTATGTGTGCTCAGAAAGCCTCTCCCTGCTCTGAGATTAGAGAAGCAGTCATTGGTTCCTTCTTGAGTTGTGGGGGATTTCAGCTTTGCCATTTTCCTCTCTAACCCATTTGATGGCTTTGGAGTCTGGCTGGCCCCTGGCCAGGCTAATAGTCTGAGGCCAACCCCTTGTTGAAGGGCTGCTCTCCCCGCCCGCCCGCCTGCCTACTTCGTCTCTGCAGGGGTCATGTTCGTGCAGGAGGAGGCCCTGGCCAGCAGCCTCTCATCTACCGACAGTCTGACTCCCGAAGACCGGCCCATTGCCCGGGGCTGCTCTGATTCCCTGGAGTCCATCCCTGCGGGACAGGTAATGCCTCTCTCTGCTTCTAGGCTTGGTGTACTCTGCTTGGCCACTTTCTTTTGGATGTGTCTAGTTGAGTTTTCTTGACAAAGCAAGCAGTTAAGGGTCTGCATCCAGCCACTCTCCTCTCGCTGTGTGTCTTTCCCTCTCTGCCTCTTTCCTGTCTCTATCTCTGCATCCGCATGGGAACTGGCAGTGCTCTCTCACTGGGCCCTGAAGGGCAGGGGAAGGGCAGGGGCCTTGATCCTGCATGAAGAGACTGTCCTGGGGAAGCCAGATCCAAAGGAGAGCTTCCCTCCCTCATGGCACCTACGGGCCACTCTGCCCCCTCCCACATGGCACCTAGTATGACCTTGGGACCACCTCTGTGGCTACTGCTCAGTCTTCTGGAGCCCATCCCTGTGTCCTGGAAAGAGAAGAGGGAAAGTGAGAGTGGCTCCTGGCCTCCCTGCAGGCCAGTCCCTGCACTTGACTGCCTGACACTAGCGTGGTTTGCAGAGTTCCTGCCTAGCACCCCCTCCCCAGAGTCACACAGCAGGAAACTCCTGGACCCTGGGTCCTGCCAAGGCTACTTCACCTCTGCTCATTACATGAGACCAGACCAAATTGGTAGACCATGCACCTGGACCTTGAGTGCTCCAGAGAGCCCGTGGATGCCAGCCCCCACTCCAAGTGATGACAGGCTCTGGCCCTGGGTTGGGAGTGCGACTCAGGTCAAACAGGTTGGGGTGGGAATTGCAGCCCTGCTATGTGTTGGCAGGAAGCTGGGAGAGCGTGCCCCCAGGCTGCAGGATACACTGCCCTAAGTGAGTATGGGAGTGGTAAGGTTTCTCCACAGCCATCTCAGGCCCCACACCCAGTTCGTGCACAGGAATGGGTGCAGCAGGGGTGCTGATGGCATTTCCTTCTCTACCAGGCAGCTTCCGAGGATTTAAGGGATGTACCAGGAGCCGTAGGTGGTACAAGGTAAGGAGGGGGTCTGCTAGGCTTTCTAAGCCTAGTGGCTGCACCTTCTTCAAGCTCTCAGCTGCAGGTGAGGGCTAACAAGTTGGTAAAAGTCCTACAGAACTATTTTTGTCTTTAAATAACGACACAGGTGAGATGGATTCCAGTCTGTTTTCCCTAAACTTTGCCTTAATTCATGTTGTCCTATGTGAAGGGTTGGCAGATCAAGACTGGTTTGGTCAGCGGTCTCTTTCGTAGTCTGTGAGCTAAGGATAGTTACTTACGGTTGATTGGTTGGTTGGGTTTTTGCAGTATTGGAAATTGAACCCAGGGCCTTCACACTGAGCTACTTCCTTAGCCCTTTTATTTTTCATTTTGAGATAGGGTTTTGCTAAGTTACTAAATTGTCCAGGCTGGGCTCGAACTTGCAGTCATCCTGCCTCAGCCTCACAGTGTACCGGCAGGCCCATACCACCATGCCAAGCATAATAATCACATACTTTTTTTTTTTTAAGACAGTTTCACTATGCAGTTTAGGCTGGCCTTGAATTTAGCTATATCCCAGGCTGGCCTCAAACTCACAGCAATCTTCTTGCCTCAGCCTCCCAAGTGTTTAGGACTCTAGGCATGGGCCACCACACCTGGCTCATTCTTCTTAAACAAGAAGATTCTGTGGATGGGGATAGCCCTTAAGTCATGAAACATTAACTGACCTTTTTACAGAAGTTTACCGTTTCTTGTAATACATGTGAAGGCTGTAGTGGCCAGGAGGAGGTAGCATTTAAAGGTCCTAAGACATCACCTAGCCTACTTCCTTGCCCTGGCGGCCACTGGATGCCCCTGAAGGGAGCTCTGATAATAAGTGGATTCAGGGGGCTAGGGATATAGCTCAGCTGCACAAGTGCCTGCTAGGCAAGCGCAAGGTCCTGAGTTCAATCCCCGGTACCACACAAATAAATAAATAAGTGGATTCACACCTTAGGGTGTTCACTGCCTCCAGAGCGCACAGCAGCACCCAAACGGTGAGCAGTCCTCAGGGTGCTTTTGAGCCAGTGTGGTCTGGCAGGGCTGTGCTTGTTGGCTGTGTCTGTGCCCCTGAAATCCTGCATTCTTGACTAAGCTGGACACCCCAACCCTGTGGCTGTCAGCACCTTTCAGCGGTCAGCACCACGTCCTCGTTCTGGGAATAGGATCAGCTGTGTAGGAGGGTTAGGAGCCCCATGGGTTGGTTCCTTGGGGCCAGGGTGCGGCAGGAGGCTCAGAGGCAGGCGGCAGGGCGTCACTGATGCAGCCTCTCCCTGCACAGTCCGGAGCACACGGAGCCGGAGGTGCAGGTGGTGCCCGGGTCTGGCCAGATCATCTTCCTGCCTTTCACCTGCATTGGCTACACAGCCACCAACCAGGACTTCATCCAGCGCCTGAGCACACTGATCCGCCAGGCTATTGAGCGCCAGTTGCCTGCCTGGATTGAGGCCGCCAACCAGCGAGAGGAGGGGCAGGGTGAGCAGGGTGAGGAGGATGACGACGAGGACGAGGAGGACGCTGCTGAGAACCGCTACTTTGAAATGGGGCCCCCAGACACAGAGGAAGAGGAGGGCGGCCAGGGGGAGGAGGACGAGGAGGATGAGGACGAGGAGGCCGAGGAGGAGCGCCTGGCTCTGGAGTGGGCCCTGGGTGCAGACGAGGACTTCCTGCTGGAGCACATCCGCATCCTCAAAGTGCTGTGGTGCTTCCTGATTCACGTGCAGGGCAGCATCCGCCAGTTCGCCGCCTGCCTGGTGCTCACAGACTTCGGCATTGCCGTCTTCGAGATCCCGCACCAGGAGTCGCGCGGCAGCAGCCAGCACATCCTCTCGGCGCTGCGCTTCGTCTTCTGCTTCCCGCACGGCGACCTCACTGAGTTCGGGTTCCTCATGCCCGAGCTGTGTCTGGTGCTGAAAGTGCGGCACAGTGAGAACACGCTTTTCATCATCTCGGACGCCACCAACCTGCATGAATTCCACGCCGACCTGCGCTCCTGCTTCGCCCCACAGCACATGGCCATGCTGTGCAGCCCCATCCTGTACGGCAGCCATACCAGCCTGCAGGAGTTCCTGCGCCAGCTGCTCACCTTCTACAAGGTGGCCGGCGGCTGCCAGGAGCGCAGCCAGGGCTGCTTCCCGGTCTACCTGGTCTACAGTGACAAGCGTATGGTGCAGACGGCCGCCGGGGACTACTCGGGCAACATTGAGTGGGCCAGCTGCACCCTCTGCTCGGCCGTGCGGCGCTCCTGCTGTGCGCCCTCCGAGGCCGTCAAATCCGCCGCCATCCCCTACTGGCTGCTGCTCACAGCCCAGCACCTCAACGTCATCAAGGCTGACTTCAACCCCATGCCCAACCGAGGGACCCACAACTGCCGCAACCGCAACAGCTTCAAACTCAGCCGGGTGCCGCTCTCCACCGTCCTGCTGGACCCCACACGCAGCTGCACGCAGCCACGGGGCGCCTTTGCGGATGGCCACGTGCTTGAGCTGCTTGTTGGCTACCGCTTCGTCACTGCCATCTTCGTGCTGCCCCATGAGAAGTTCCACTTCCTGCGCATATACAACCAGCTGCGAGCCTCACTGCAGGACTTGAAGACGGTAGTCATCGCCAAGACCCCCACAGCCGGGGCCGCACCCCAGAGTCCACCGATGGATGGCCAGGCTGCCGAAGGCAGGGCCAGGTAAGACCACGTACCGGGTCCCGGGCCTGGGAGAGCTGGCGTGTGTGTGTCTGTGTGCCCCCACGCTCTTCGGCTTCTCCGCAGCTCCTAAGTGCCCCCGGGATCGCCCTCGCTCCTTAGCCTTGGCACCCAGCTGCTGCTTACCGCCTAGAACTTCAGAGGAGGTTCAGGAGAGCTGTTCTTTCACAAAAAGCAGGTTGGCCCGGCTCCTACCACCCACGCAGAGCGGCTGAGGAAGCTGCTCCCTACTTCACCTGCTCAGTGGGAGAGCCATCATTTTGGCCCTGGCCCTGAGAAGTCTGCTCCCTTGAGGCCAAGCATGGTGTCCGGGCATCACCTGCCTCCCCTCCCGCCAGGGCTCATGCTCCATGGCTGCCCCATCCCTAAGGAAGCTGCCAAGTTTTCCGTGTTGGTGAGCCACAAAGCCCTTCTCAGGTAGGACTGGGCAGCATGTGACTTTGGAAGTTCTTCCCCAAAGAACATTAGGTGCTAAAAGGAGCAGGTCGGAGTGAGCTGGGTGGCCCTCTCTTCCAAGGCCCCTTCTCAGAAGATGCAGATGTGGACAGGCAAGGATTTGGCAGCCAAGTCCTCCTCTCCGTACTGTCCCCCATTCCTGTTCCTCTTCCACAGAGCCTGGCTCTTCCTGGACTCCCTCCTGGTTTCCCTCGGGGCCACCTGGGGGTGAGGGTGGAAGAGGGCCTCTGTTAGGGCCCTTGCAGCGTGAGCCCACCTGCGCCATGAGAAGGACTTTATGCCCGTATAGGGACCCCTGCCTCCTGTTGCTGGGTTTCCTGGGCTGCCCTGACCTAAGTAGAAAGCCTTTCACCTATCTGCCTTCCTGTCGCATACGACACAGTCTCGCTGTTCTCTTCCTTCCTGGTGGACTGCAGAGACCATCCTTACCCTTGCATCCCTTAGTATCTCATGGGGTCTGCCATCCCTCTCCAAGCCAACCCTGGTCTGATGCTCTTCAAGAGCTCTCCGCCTCTTCCAGGCAGAATCTGGTGCCCCTCAGGCCCGGAAAACAGTCCTGTAAGAAATGACCCTCAGTGGCTGACTCATCTCCCTGCCCCTGGTGAGGCTTCAGCATTGGGCACCTTGTCTGTACTTCCCTGTCACCCCCAAGTCTGGCTGGCACCTGCCTACAGAGAACCACATGCAGAAACCCTCCAGCAGACACCTGAGTATTTGGCCAAATGGAGGATCACAGCCCCAGGGATCTCAGCAACTGGACTAGGTCCAGTTGAGAGGGTGACATCTAAAGAACTCCCTCCTCAATGGGGGTGTGACCACAGAAGCTGGTTTCAGAGAGGGCTCCCAATTTCATGAGCTTTAAGGCTCTGAGCATTATTTATTCTCATGTCTGGAACCAAGCAGTTCATGTGTAGTGGTGGCAGAGTGCCCTAACAGCTTGGACCACCTAAGGACACCCCAAAAGCAAACGGGCAGTTTTGAGAGTTTGGTTCTTAACTCTGCCAGCACCTGTGCACACCAGTCTTACCTTGGTTAGCACTCTAGACCCTGGAGTGGCATTTCTGCACTGCATCAAGATGAGTTTCTGATCTATGGGCCACAGTGTCTGTTACATGCATTTGGCTAGCTCAGTAGGACCGACCCACTCTGAGCCCACCTCCAACCCAAGAGAAAGGGCCTTTCTCTGCTGTTTGTCCTAAGGAACCTGGTGACGGACAAAGTCTCCAGGTAACCCGTGGAATGGCGCATGTACACTGGTGATCCGCACACCCTGGGATGCGTGATGTGTACGTGGTGGGACTCTGCCGGCCCCCATTTAACGTGATGTTTCTTGGGGGGTTGGGAGATGCAGGGATGACCAGCATCCCCAGCAAGGCTCTGCAGAGGCTGCAGCCCAAGCCCCGACCCCAGCTCGAGTCCCAGCAGCAGCCTCAGCTACCGGCCCAGCAAATACCCTGGCTCCGGCTCCAGCTCTGGCTCCAGCTTCAGCTCCAACCTCAGTGGAGGACCAGGTTCCACCTCCAGCCCCAGCAGAAGCGTCAGCTGCAGCTGTGGTCCCAGAGGAGGCTCCGCTGGAGAACCCACCTCCAGCCCAAGCTGAGGCCCCTGTCCAGTACCCAAGCGAGCAGCTGATCCAGTCCACCTCTGAGGAAAACCAGCTCCCCCTGCACCTGCCTGTCTGCCCATCCCTTCAGCACATTGCCGGCCTGGGGGGCAAGGCCGTCATCGAGCTCTTCCACAGCAGCATTGCCGAGGTAGCAGCCCACGGGCTGGCCACCCTGGTTGGCACTCGGGTGGAGAGGTGTCAGTCCTGGGGTGAGGCAGGACCTGCCTTGAGTTTCTGTGATGTGGTTTGAGGACGTGGGTTGGAGGTCCTGAGCTGCCCTCTCTGTTCTACCTCCACCTGAGAAGAGCTTCCCACCTTGCCCCGTCTAAGGCCGTGGGCATGTGCAGGTCCCCAGGGTAGTGTGGGTGCTGCCCCTGTCCAGCCCTGCTCTCCTTCAGGCCCACATCCAGCCCCTCCTGTCCAGGTTGAAAATGAGGAGCTGAGGCACCTCCTGTGGTCATCAGTGGTGTTCTACCAGACCCCGGGGCTGGAGGTGACCGCCTGTGTGCTGCTGTCCACCAAGGCTGTGTACTTCGTGCTGCACGACGGCCTGCGCCGCTACTTCTCAGAGCCACTGCAGGGTAGGCAACAGGCTCGCTGTCGGGCAGGGGCTCATGGCACGCGTGCAGACGGGCTGCTCTGGCCTGAGAGTCTCTCATCTGAGGAAGGGGATGACAACTTCTCTTCCTTCCTAGAGCTGTCATGAGGAGTAAGACCAAATGTGCACACACTGTGCCAGGGCTTGGGAACTGGCTATGATAGGCAGGGGCTGGGCAGCGTCTGCCCCTCAGGGCCTCCGAAGGAGCCTTAGCCAATGGCCTGGTGACTGCTGAGCCAAGCGAGGCTCAGACCTGAGACCAAGGTGCATATGAAGCTTTGCGTGTATGTGCGGGTGGTGGCAGCTCCTCCCCAGGTGACCCATTCCTGCTGCTCCTGTATATCGGGGATCCTTGTGCTCGCCTCCATAGCCCCTGTCACCCTCAGTCCCTTTCTGTCCATCACAGATTTCTGGCATCAGAAAAACACTGACTACAACAACAGCCCCTTCCACATCTCCCAGTGCTTTGTGCTCAAACTCAGTGACCTGCAGTCAGTCAACGTTGGCCTTTTTGACCAGCACTTCCGGCTGACGGGTGAGTGACCCTCTGTGCTTTGTTTGATTTTGGGTGAAGGCCAATGGGTTTCCACCTTCCATGTGTGGGTACATTTATCATAGACAGAGTTATCTCCCTGCCTACAGGCCAGTCAGCTGAGTGGGAGGAAGCAGCTTCAGGAACTGCTGAGATTGCAGGACTCACGCCCCAGGGCTCTAGGCAGGAGGCGGGGTATGCAGCTAGCACCAAACCAGAGGCATAGGGGACCCTGGGCTCAGGCAGGATGTTTCTGACTCATGCTTCCTGAAGAGAGAAGACTGAGCTCTTTCCCTAATGCCTATGGATCCCCTTCCCGAAAAATGTCTCAGCCCTTCCTGTTTGAAAACAGCAGCCTCTGCAGACCCCATGATGCTCTCCCACATGGGTCCTCCTGCCCCTGGCTTTCTGGGGCAGAGACCTGGTCAGAGGTGGTGGTCTGTGGCCTTGACCAGCCCCTTCTCGCGCAGGCTCCTCCCCAGCACAGGTGGTCACATGCCTGACTCGAGACAGCTACCTGACGCATTGCTTCCTCCAGCACCTCATGCTTGTGCTCTCCTCGCTGGAGCGCACACCCTCACCTGAGCCTGTCGACAAGGACTTCTACTCAGAGTTTGGGAGCAAGACCGCAGGTACGCTGTCCGGTTCAGCCCCCAGACCAGCGCCTCTCTCTGCCCCAGTGCCCCTGCTGCCTCTGCCTCTTTTTCTCTGGCCTCACATAGCTGGCCAGGATGTGATTTGGGGCCTTTCTGGGCAGAATTCCCATCCTAACCATTCTTCAGCCATCCGGGCATCTCAGGTGTCAGCCTTAGGCTGTTGGCCTGGGGCCCTATTTTGATGAGCAGCGTGGAGTGCCCGCCCTTGTTGGCTTAGGGCTGTTGGTGCTTCCCGCCCCATGACAGGCCAGTCCCAGACGATAGCCCTGGTGACATCTTTCTCTGCAGGGAAGGTGGAGAACTACGAGCTGATCCACTCAAGTCGTGTCAAGTTCACCTACCCCAGCGAGGAGGAGGTTGGGGACCTAACATACATCGTCGCCCAGAAGATGGCTGATCCAGAGAAGGCCCCAGCCCCTAGCATCCTGCTGTATGTGCAGGCCTTCCAGGTGGGCCCCTCGCCACCTGGGCGCTGCCGGAGCCCGCTGCGCCCCAAGACACTCCTGCTCACTAGCACAGAGATCTTTCTCTTGGATGAGGACTATATTCACTACCCGCTGCCTGCGTTTGCCAAAGAGCCACCACAGAGGGACAGGTACCGGCTCGATGATGGCCGTCGTGTCCGGGACTTGGACCGCATTCTCATGGGCTACCAGCCGTACCCGCAGGCCCTTACCCTTGTCTTTGATGACATGCAGGGCCACGACCTCATGGGCTGCGTCACCCTGGACCATTTCGGGGAGGTGCCGAGTGGTTCTGCCAGGGCCGGCCAGGGCCGTGAGATCCAGTGGCAGGTGTTTGTCCCCAGCGCTGAGAGCCGAGAGAAGCTCATCTCACTGTTGGCCCGCCAGTGGGAGGCCCTGTGCGGGCGGGAGCTGCCCGTAGAGCTTACCGGCTAGCTCACCTGCCATGTCTAGCCTGGTGCCTACTCAGAGCAGGGGAGCAGCCTTTCTTTGTTCTCTTAGGAGTGTTTTCTCCCCTCCCTTCTGGTACCTTAATTTGACAGTCCCTGCTGAGAATGTGAACGTGTGTGTTCAGTTCATTCTTTCCATGCTGGAAGTGCGAGTGCCAGGCCCCCTCCTAGGGTCTGTGGGCTGTCCGCCTCCACGCGCTGCCCGCCCCTGGAGTGACGTGGCCTGGCACACCAGCATCGTGTCTGTCACTGTGTGCCATTGTTAGCACGTGCGGCCGTGACTGTGATCCGCTCCCCCTGTCTTCTCTCGCTGTTGCTGTCGTTGTGGGCATTTTGCTGCTAATCACGAAGCTGGTAGCAGAGTACACATTTGAAGCTCCTGCCCCATGCAGCCTTTCAAAGTGCAGGTCTTGAGCTGGGTGTGGTGGCTCACGCTTGTAACTGTAGCCCTTGGGAGGCTGAGGCAGGAGGATCACCTGGAGTTTGAGGCCAGCCTAGGCAACATAGTGAGTTCAAGGCTGGCCTAGACTGTGTAGTAAAACCTTGTCTCAAAAAGAGAAGAAAAAAAGTGAAGGCCTCCTTTGGTCCAAACAAGAGGTGGATCCTGACTGGGGCCAGAGTCTCCTGGCCTTGGGGCTGCTATGTGGTGGGGGGGACCTAGAGCTGCTGGCACCAAGAGTGATTCCTGTTGCCTATTTTCTGTATTCCAATAAAGTAGTTTGACACGGTCTGGGTCTTCTAAGTCAAGGGTCACTCGGGCCCCAGCAGGACCTTGGGCAGGACATGGTCCACACAGGGAGGGAGAGGGTGCGCTGTAGACACAGGAGGGCAAGCTGGGCGTGGTGGCGCACACCTGTAATCCCAGCACTCGGGAGGCTGAGGCAGGAGGATCATTGCGAGTTTGAGACCAGCCTGGGCTACAAAGTGAGCTCAAGGCCAGTCTGAACTGCATAGTGAGTCCCTGTCTTAAAAAGATTAAAAAATAAAAAAATAAAATAAAATTTTAAAAGACACAGGAGGGCGAGGAGTGGGGGCAGCAAGGGGAGGGAGCAGCCCTCAGGGGACAGAAACTTGCTGGACCCAAGGGTGAGGGAGATTTCTTTGGACAGGGCTGTGCTGACCTGTGGCTAAACCAGGGGAGTCTGCAGAACTCCTCAGGGACCCCCGACACCAGCCACTGTCCCTCTGCCAGCTCCTCAGCTTGTCGTGCACCTGGCCCAAACCCCTGGAGCCGCAGGCTGTGAGGGCGAGCCGGATGGGGTCCTGGCGCAGGTATCCGAGATGGCCCTGGAGTGGCACCCGAGAGGTGGGGCCGCTGCCTGTGCGTGACTGTTCCCGGCAGAGGTGGGGCTGCCTCAGGGCGCTCTCTCGAGGGAGACCTGGAACGGGAGCCGATCCTCCCTCCACCCATCCGTGCCGCGGGCACTCACACCTCAGCCGGCCTGTTCAGGAGCTTCAGCCCTCGGGGCTGAGCCGCAGACCAGCTGAGCTCCCGTGGACGAGCTGCCCAGCCCGCTGAGCCTCAGTCTCCCTCCCAGTGAGATGGATGATAAAAAGAACCGTCTTTATTTACTTAGTCATTCCACGCATCTGTACTGAGTGTCTACTCCGTGTCAGGCAGATGCTGACTCTGAGCCCCGCAGCTGACTTTTGAGGGTGGTGGAGACAAAATTAAGTGGCACAGTAGGCCGTACCTGTAATCACAGCTGTGTAGGAAGTTGAAGCGGGTAGATCACAGGTTTGAAGCCAGCCTGGGCAATTTAGCAAGACCCTGTATCAAAGGAGTACACCTACTACACACTAATCTGCCATAAACTTGAAGCTGGGCATGGTGGCACATACCTCTAACCCCAGGACTCGGGAGGCTGAGGCAGGAGAACTGCCACGCATTCAAGGCCAGCCTGAACTACAAAGAGAGACCCTGTCTCAAAAAAACAAACAAATGAAAGATAAACTTGAGTCATTTGTAGGAAAATAGATGCACCTTGAGACCATAATGTTAAGTGAAATAAACCACACAGACAAGCTTAAATACCGCATATTTTCTCTTACATGAGAAGCCCGAATTTTAAACAGCCAAATAAAGTTGGATAATAGGAAGTAGGAAGATAGAACTTTCTCAAATGAAAGGGAATCGAAGGATGGAGGGAAGGGCAGGAAGGGAGATAAAAAAGGGAAATCAGATGTGAGACACTATATTACATTTGGGGTACTGGGGATCGAACCCAGGGCCTTCAAATCTCAGCCCTTAAATTTTGAGACAGATTCTTGCCATGCTGACCTTCAACTTGTGATACTCATGCCTCAGCCTCCCAAAGTGCTGGGATTACAAGGCGTACACTACGGCATTCAGCTTAAAATAGTTTGTGCGTGCCCATGTGTCTCTGTGCGCATGGCTCCCGGGTCTTTGCCCTGAGCTATGTACCCAGCCCGCTTCCTTTTTTGAGACAGCGTCTCGCTGAGTTGCCCAGGCTGAGCTTGAACTTGCAATCCTGCTGCCTTAGCTTCCCACAGTGCTGGAACCACAGGCTGGTCCCACCGTGCCTGGCTTCAGTTTTTCATCTCCTCTTCCTCCTCCTTCCTCTCTTTCCTCCCCTTCCTCCCCTTCCTCCCCTTCCTCCCCTTCCTCCTCCTCCTCCTTCTTTCTTTTTTTTTTGAGACACAGTCCCGCTGTGTAGTTCAGGGTGGCTTTGAACTCACTGTAGCCCAGTGATCTTCCTGCCTCAGCCTCCTAAGCACTGGGATTACAGGCGTGCACCACCACACCTGCGAAAATAAAGTATTTTTAAAGGGGTAGGGGTGCACCTCAGTGATTCAGCCAGCCCCAGTTGGTGGCCAGTGCTGCTGGAAGCAGAGTCAGGCCCTGCCGGCAGCCTGGGAGCTGAACTGGTGGCTTTTGTTAAAAGAAAAAACCTGGCCTGGGGGTGTGGCTCGGTGATGGCACCATTTAAAAAAAAGTAAACAATCTTTTTGAGTTTATCCAAATCTATTTGAGCAAAGAAAATAGTTTTCAAAATGGCCCGCCCTTGGAACCTAACAGGTTCTGAGAACTCCGGCCAACAAATTAGGCAGCACTTACAGACCAGAGCGAGGCATGGCGCCGTGTTAAGTGCAGCGGCTTAATTCATTGGTCCGCTGGTTAGCAGAGCCCACAAGTGCCTGCTGCTCTGCTGTGTGATCAGACTCCGTGCTGATCTGACCTGCTGGGCTAGCGCGGGAGCTCCCGCCAAACGACAGCTGCCTGGGCTCCCCTTTAACACCCTCACCTGAGAATCTGTGAGCAGGACCGTGCGTGAGACGGGGAACAGCTGGTGCCACGGGAAGCACAGTTAAAAAGTAGAAAAGCCAGGGTGGCTGGAGCAGAGTGGGGGGCATCAGAGGCCAGCTGCTGAGTGACGTCTCGGAGGGAAGCCACAGGGGGCAGCTGCGGAGTGCAGGCCGGGTCAGGGAGGCTGGGGGCTGTGAACGATGTGGGGGTCAGGACGGGTGCAGGCTGGGCTGGCAGGACCAACTGGTGGAGCAGCTGAGGGTCCGCTGCTAGGCTAGGACTGTGCCTCGCAGAGAGTATACACACACAAACACAGACCCTTAGCTAGAAGCCTGAGGCAAGGGCAGACCCCTTCTGGGGCTGTCCTACGCCCACCAAAACCCCAGGCCCTCTGAATGAAAAACGGTGCACCCTGCAGATGGGGGAAGTTGTTCCATTTGCATCTGAATCCACTTCAGAATCGCTGCTAGAGACCAGGCACGTGCTTAACAGTGGGCTTGGGCTTCCAGATGGTAATGCAGGAGGGTCCTGGGCCAGGAAGCCTGAGCAGGGGCCCAGGCCATCCACGCAGGGGTCAGTGGCCAGCGCCTTCCCTTCCGCCTGCAGGCTGCTGATACGCAGGAGGAAATCCTGGCAGGTTCCTGTGGGGGTGAGCCGGTGGGGGCAGCTTTTAAAGCGAACGCCCGCCCTGCCCTGCCTGCCCGCCCTGCGCCTGCATCTCAGAGTTCACTCCGCAGCGGCGGCCGCAGCAACTTCTGACTTCGGTCCTGGACAGTGGGCTACCAGCCCCTGCCGGCCATGGCAGAGCCCTGGGGCCGCCTCCTGCTCTGCCTCCTGGCCTTCTGGCTGTCAGGCTCCAGCTTCACGTCGGGGCAGAAGGTGAGTGTGAGCCTGTTTCAGAGGGTGGGCGTGGGGAGGGACCGGGTGCAGATGGAGCGTGGGTCTGGGGATATAAGGAGCCGCTAGTGCCTACGTGAGCTGTGCAGACCCAGGCGGCGGGGCTGGTGTGCCCACTTGCACAGGCTGAGGACTGTCACTGGGGTGCAGGTCTGTGGCAGCCTGCCCTCTAACCATGCCTGGCCCAGGCAGCCGGATGGTGTGAGCAGCTGGCCCGGGCTCCCCCGCCTGTGCGGGAGGGGACACAGAAGCAGGCCTGTCTGCCTAGCCTCATGTGCAGGTCCACAAACACTCACGTGGGCCATGGGTGCGTCTGCCTAGCCCGAGACTGCCCGAGATGGAATGGGTCCCCACCTTCAGCACCGCTGGGTGCAGAGCAGCTGGGGATGATGAGTTCCAGCCTCCAAGCTGCCGCTGACCTGGCCAGGGCCACACCTTCTGCATCCTCACAGCCCCCGGGCAGCACGTCTTGTTCTTCCAGTGGGGCAGCCAAGGCCCGAGCACGCGAGAGGCCGGCTCTTCCCACTGTGGAGCCAGCCCCAGGCCTTCCGCTTGGAGCACTCGCGCTGTGGTGCAGGAGCCCGGCCTGCAGCTTCCCTGGGCAGGGACGCAGCTCTTTTCAAGCTTTGGGAAGACCCTTGCGCCCTGAGTATGGCGCCAGAGTCCCTGGCTGGGACCTGCCACTGAGTGAGGCCGAGTTCATCTGCTGCTACCTTTTTTTTGTTTAGTTCATGCTCACAGTACATAACGATTGCATTCATTGTAGGGATTTGGTATATGTATATAACATGTCTCAATTCTTTTTTTCCCCTTCCCTTCTACTCCCATGTAAAAAAAATTTTTTTTGCTGGCATCAGATTTATTTTATGTCTTTATCAAGTTAATTGTCATAAACAGCCAAATAGCCAAACTAACAGGCAAAAAAAA